AGCCAGGAAATTAGAAGACGTATTGCCATGGGAAAGTCTGCTGTTAAGGACCTCTCCAAAGTACTGAAGAGCAATGGTGTCTCTCTGGAGACTAAGGTGCATTTGATACAGGCCATGGTCTTTGCTATCACTTGTTATGCATCAGAGAGTTGGACAATGCCTAAGGAGGACAGAAGGAGAATTGATGCCTTTGAGCTGTGGTGCTGGAGAAGAGTATTGAATGTACCATGGACGCTAGGAAAACAAACAGATTCATCCTGGAAAGGGTCAAACCGGGCTGCTCCTTGGAGGCAAGGATTCTAACGCTCTGTCTAACATACTCTGGACATGTTGCAAGGAGGGACATCATGCTTGGTAGGGTGGAGGGACAGCGCAGAAGGGGAAGGCTCCCTATGAGGTGGATTGATTCAGTGATTGTGGTAATCGGGATGGGTGGGTCAGAGATGGTGTGATTGTCACAGGACAGAGCAGAGTTTAGGGATGTTGTACATAGGATCGCTATGAGTCGCAAGCGACTCGACAGAACATCATAACAACAACAACAACAACCCTAGCAAGAGTAGAAAAATTCAGTAAATTAATAAACAACAAAAGCTAGCAAGAGAACAAAGAGATGGGAACTTTCAAACACTGCTGGTGGGAATGTAAAATGGTGCATCAACTATAGAAAACACTTTGGTATTTCCTTCAAACACTGAAAATGGAAATGTCACTCGATTAAGCAATCCCACTACTAGGATACTGCCTAGATAAACACTCTTCCTTATTTATATGTTGTTAAGTGCTGTTTAGTCGCTTGCAACTCACTGTGACCCTGTATGTACAACAGCTCTGACGTCTGCTCTATGCTGTCCCAACCTTTTACACTACTACAAAGAATACTGGTGTTTATGTTTCTGAGTTGCTGCTCTCAAGAGTCTTGGATATGGATGCATTAGAGGAATTACTTAGTCATAATTCTTTAATATTATGAGGACCTGTCAAACTCCTCCCAAGAGCTATTCCATTTTAAATTCTTAATGGCACTGGTTAAGGGCTGCAATTACTCCACATTTTAGCCAACATGTCTTGTTTTCTATTGTTCCTCCCCCCTTCATTTTTAATCTTAGCTCGGTGGGCGAAGAGCAATATTTCCTTGTGGCTTTCATTTCCACTTCCTAGCATGTAAGGAGTTGCACTGGCAACCCAAAGACAGGCAGTTAAAATCCACCAGTTGCTCCATGCGACAAAGATGGGCAATCTTCTCCTATGTAATTTCTAGTTTCTGGAAACCTGGTGGAGAGTTAGCTATGATGAAGTTACAACATTAAGATGATGAGAAGTGGCTACTGAGAGAGTTCTTGTTAGTACGAAACTGGGCTGCTAACCCAACGGCCAACCTTCTGGAAGCTCAAATCCACTGACAATTTACAGCCTTCGAAATCCTGGACCCACAGAAGTCAGTTTGAGTTTCTGAAGGAGTACTGAGGAATTCTGGCGATGTGTGCATTAGATAACCAAAAGGTCAGAGGGTTGAATACACGAGGTTCTTTGAGTGAGAAAGATGAGCAGTCTCCTCTATAAAGCTATACAGTCTCAGAAACTTAATAGAAGGTTGATATGTGTCACAACTGACTTGATGGTTGTGAGTTCAGGAGTTTTGTTGCCATTAACAGCATATCAGGAGTCCTTAGACAGCAAAGACAGTTACTCACTGGGCTATTAACTTACAGATAATTACTACCAGTCTAATTGGATGGCATGGCTGCTTTATTATGCTGAAGTGATTTATGTGTCCTTCATATTTTATCACAAAGCATATTAAAAAAGTGTGTACTCAAGTGCTGGGGTTTAATAAAATTAAATTCTTACTCCTTCATCAAGAACATTAACTGAAATGAGTTTTAAAGCAAAAGAAAGAAAACCAAACAAATCCTACAAATTCAAGGCACAACAGAATACAATAACTACCATACAGTTTGGTGTCGGTCCCCTGATTCTTGCTAAAGTATTAGTAATTTTACCCATCATGCACTAGCAACACCAAGGCAAGGTAAACATAGTGGAAAAGGCAAATATTATTATTATTATGATGATGATGATGAAGAAAATAATTTTTACAACAGGAGAAAAGAATTGGTGAAGAGTAGTTACCTGCTTCTTCTTTTCAGTAGGTGACAAGCATTTGGCAGCAACCTTCTGAGCATCTTCAAAAAGGCTATCAACAAAATATTCACAATTCCATTGTCGAGTATCACTAACAGGTGGGTTGTTAGATCCTGTTTCACAAACCCTAATTAAAAAAAAAAAAGATGAAGCAACGCTAGGATACTGAATTGAGCTGCTTCTACCCCCATGTTTGTAAATGAAGCCCCTTTTAACTTGAAACTTTAACTTTTAAGTTAAAAGGGGCCTCATTTACAAACAGGAAAAAAAGTTAACCTCTCAGTGATTTGGTTTCTTAACTATAAAATGCAAGTACTTCTACTATCATACAGTTATTCTGAAAGTTTAATAAAAATCCATATAAAATTCTATACACATGCCTTGTAGTTGCTGTTGTGTGATCAGAACCACCTCATAATGGATTTTCAAGACAGTAAATCACACGGGAGAAGACTGGCCATTTTTCTCTCATGGAGCCGCTGGGGGACTCAAATTATGTGCTTTTGGAATTACAGCACAGCTCCTTACCACTAGGCTACCAAAGCAGCCTTCTACATGTGCCTAAGACACAGCAAAACCTCCAACATCTGATAAAAATATTGTTATAATTACATTATGCTTCCTTGTACATAACTGCTTCTTTGATTCTGAAAGCAACTGGTGCTTAATTTCCAAGTACAAACCCAATAACACTTGAGCAACTAAAATTTCTATATAACCTTTCAAAAAGGACCAGTTAGAAACCACCTTTTCATCAAAAGAAGTCTTACAGTGCTCCTAAGGACAAAAACATAAAAATAAAGAAAAACAAATGAAGCATTATTAATTAAACCATTACAAAGAAAAGTTTCTGTTTGAAATCTCATTCTGATGGCAAATGTACAATGGTGAATACTTGTAATAGAAAATAACATCAATAAAAAAGACATCTATAAGATATGTTTCAGGAAAAATAATGATGTCATGTAACTGGGGATCCTGCTTCACTGAAAAAGTGGTTATATACTGTGATGAGAATACAGAAATCCCTAGATAGAAAAAAAGAACAGAAAAGGCATTCTTAGCTTTGAGATAGGAAAGGCATTCTTAGCTTCAGTGAGAAGGTACACTAAGCATAGTATTTTCTTGGTAACTCAAGAATCCTCTTAATATTTTATTATATTAACTTGTCATATAGAAAAATATAGGCAGGCTCTGGTGGCCTAGTGGCAAGAAGCTGCACTGCAGTACCAGAGGTGAGTGGCTTGAATCCACCAGATGCTCTGTGGGAGGAGGGACAATCTCCTGTACCAGTCAGATCTGATTTGACAGTACACATACCAAAAAACAATAATAATAATAAAAATTAAAAACATAAAAGAAAAATACAAAGTCATGAAGTAGGAGGATGTTTTAGTACCAGAACTCATGCCAGTTTAAAGGGTACAAGTATGGCCAATAGAAACAAAAGAAGCATAGGCATTGTGTAGCAACCAAATACCCTTCCTATTGTATTCTGGTCCAAGTAAGAAACAAGCTGTGTTGCCCTACTCAAGGACAGACAACCTTCTCACTCTAAATGCATCTTGGCCACCATTTTTGAGCAGCACATTGCTACTTGTCTTCTCCAAACCCAAAACTCTGCAGCTATCAAGCTGACTCCCCCTCATGTTGCTGTTGTTAAATGCCACTGAGTCAAGTATGACTCATAATGGCTCTATGAACAACTAATATGAACTTTGCTGTACCCTGTGCCAGCATCATCATCTCTGTTATACTTGAGTATACTGTTATGGTCTTTGTGTCAATCCATCTCACTTGGGGTCTTCCTCTCTTTTGCTGACTCTCCTGTCAAACATGATGTCCTTTTCCAAGGACTGGCCCCTCCTAACATCATGCCCAAAGTATATGAGATGAAGCTTCACTATCTTCACCTCCAAAGAACACTCTGGACGCACTTTCTCCAAAATATTCTTGTTTGTCCTATTAGCAGTTCATGAAATAGTACTCTTCTACAACCCCACCACAACTCAAAAGCACTGATTCTTCTTCTGCCATCCTTCATCACTGACCAAGTTTCAGATGCATAGTAAGTAACTGAAAAGACAACAGCCTAAATCAGATATACCTCAGTCTTCAAACTAACAACATTAATACCTAGAACTTTGGAGAGTCCTTGACAGCAGATTTTCCCAATGTAACAGGTCTTCTGATCTCTTGCTACTGGTACCAAGAGTGCTGACTGTGGATCTAAGTAAGACAAAATCATTGACAACTGCAATATTTTCTTCATCATGATGTTGCCTGTTGACTCAGTGGTGAGGACCTTTTTTTTTCTTGATGCTAAGATGTAAATAATATTAAAAGTTGCAGTCCTTGATGTTCTGCAATGTTTCAAGTCCTCTTCATTTTCAGCAAGCAAGGGTATGTTGTCTGCATAATTTAAGCTGCTGATGAGTCTTCCTTAGATCCTGATGCTACATTCCTCTTCATAAGGTATGGTCTCTCAAATGATCTGCTCAGCATACAGACTATACAAGTATGGAGAAAGGATACCCTCAATCAGGCTTCCAAAACCGTCACTCTTAAAAGGATGAGACTGGCTCATGTTTCTATGTAGAGTAGCTGCTGGGTTTGAATTATTTAGCCTTTTGTTGAGCCACCAACACTTAACCTTTTCATCACCAGTACTTCTTTTTCTGCTAGGGTCAATATCTCACATGCAAGAGGACTGGTTGCTATGTAAGGCATATGCTGCCACTGGCCACATGTTTCCACTGGCCATGACGGAACTATTTTGAACAAACAGAAGTCCTCTTTAATGCTAACTATATTGGCACTTTTGTTTTATGTGTGTTTTGCCCTACTCTGTCAGCTTTTCTTTGTCACTATCATTATTTATTTTTGCTATCTAATACATTTGCCAATTTAACCATTTTTGCAAAATGTCTACCTAAACTAATCTAAAGGTCAAAGAGGTAACACAAGGCAGAGATGGTATTCTTATCTCTGAAACCATTACACTATCACTATACCTCCAAAGAGTATAGAACACAAACCAGTAAAAAGATACTTACTTCTATTTATCACACAACTGAAGTTACATGTGAATAAAAAAAGATCATTATTTTTAATAAGAATACTTAGTAACTTTATTAAAATCAGTTTAGACCAAGTATGATTTTAAAAACAAGTGAAAAAGTATTATGACTAGGTTTTCACTGAAATAAAAATATGTAATAAAAATTTACTAACTCTACCAGTGTAATGTAATAAAAATAGAAAGATAATAACAAAGGTATTAATAACAAAGAAATTAATATACTTGAGGCAACTTACCACTCTTCTTTTATAGTATCAAGATTATCTACTTCTTTCATTCTCTTTTGCCTTACTGTAAAATTTAAAAAAAAAAAAGTTAAAGTTAACAAGATAGTACTTGAAAACAATTTCTTTTTACATATATGTTAATATTCTTTAAAATATAAACTATTAATTGCACAGACCCAAGTAAAATAAAAGAGTCCTGGTAGGAACTGGTAGTGGTTAAGCACTCAGTTTAACAGTTCAAATTCACCAGACCACTCCACAGGGAAAGTGGTAAGGAGCTGTGCTGCAGTCCAAAAGGTTCAAATCCACCAGCTTCTCCATGGATGAAGGATGAGTGATCTCCTCCCATGAGATTAGTGCCTCTGAAAACCCACTGGAGGGGCATCTATGGGTTGGTTCCATCTACACAGTACACAACAACTGCTCCCATAAAGATTACAGTCTGGGAAACTATGGGGCAGTTCTACTCAGGCCTCTAGGTTAGCTAAGGGTTAAAAATCTACTCAGTGGCTGGGTTTGGGTTTGTTGTTTTTGTGACCAAATTCAAAGCTATTGTTTTCATCTACAAAATAAAGCAACTGTTGTTATGCAACAATGAGTTGACCACAACTCATAATGACTCCATGAACAACAGAGCTGAATCTTGCCCTGTGCTGCATCCTCCCTATCTCGCTCATGCTTGAGCCCATGGTTATAATCATTTTGTCAGTCCATATCTAGAGTGTGGTTATTTTCTAGCAAAAGAAAGACTTCCTAAAAATGGTAACAAAAAAATATTAAAGTGTCCTTTAGTTTAAAAGATAATACATGGGGGAGGGGAAGGGGAAAAGTTAATAAATTAATAAATTGAACCAAACAGTAACAAAATATCAAATTAGTACAAGCCACATTCTTGCAATTCTTTGGAAAGCAAACTGACAATATGTATCCACATGTGGTAAAATTTTTACACTTTTTAATCTTGGTTTTCCACATCCCTGGGAATTTAAAAGAACAAGGTAAGATGTGTACACAAAAATGTCCATGACAATTATGATTTATTAGGGCAAATGGTAACGTAGTGTTAAGGGTTTATTGCTCAAAACGGCTTTCCAAGCCATTGCCTCACTTTGCCATGTAAATAGGTGGGAATATGTGAGTAGGGCCTGTTAACCTATCCACAGGAGAGTCCACAGAGATTGACTAATCTCACCAATCCACAAGGGGACTGGCTAGACTCACCATTAAATTGAATGGATCCAGCAGAAGAATTGAAGAATCCTCTCAATAGCAAAGAAGTAAGAGAATGCAATGCATCCTTCAGGGCCAGAGATTCTTGCACAAACCAGACCACAGCCTATGGGAAGAATAGCCATAGCTGCAGCCAAGAACCAAAGACCTGAAGTGAGACAGAGCAGACCCTGGGACTGCTACAGGGTGGTGTGGGGTGTGGGGAGGCATAATCTGCAGGATTAAAAGCTTTATAACATTGGTTAAAAGCCCAAGGCTGAGGCGCCTGAAAGAACACTTTGGAAGCTATGCTGACTCAGTGATTATATTCTGTTATTAGCCTGAATTATAGCCTTTTGTCTTCCCTATTATATTTCTGTGTGATCTGTGAGTTATCACATCGGATTCTGGACCCAGTAAAGCAGGCAAAATTTGTGTTAGGATGAGTAGAAAGAGGTGGGGGAGCGTGAGGGATAGGTTTGACGTTACTGGAGTTGGTTTTATGCTGTTGATGGGAATAATTCCCCTTTATATAGTTGGTAAAGGCCAGAGATGGTCATTCCCACATAGCTCTTGCTTTTTTTTTCCACAGGGAAGTAAACTAAATGTCTAATAAATCATGCTTTATTAGATCATGACTTCATGTTTGTTGGAATAATACATACTCCTTTAAAATAACTACAAATCATGTAGGTAGCCAAGTAGAAAAAAGACAGAACAAAGGCAAAAAATACAGGAAACAAAAATCATTCATACAAGGGAATGCAACGGAATTAGAATACTACTGAATCCATATGGGAAAAACAAACAAACGGGTATCAGTCATTTCTGGAACAACAAAATAATGGGTATTTTTCCCCCTCAACCTTTTGTAAAGCTTTTTGGCACCTATAACAGCAAGAAATAAGTGAACAAATCACTGGAAATGGTACAAGGGGCTGCTGAATCAAAGATGAACTGTTTGAACTATCTAGTAGATTTGCAGAAGAGAGACTTAGCAATCTGTTCCAAGAAAAGACTACAACCTAGAAAAGTCCTGTACATACAGTTCTATTGTCACAAACATTGTGAAAATCAATTTAATAGCACCTAACAAAACAAAAATAATCCAAACTGTCTGTTTGCTGAGGCAACATACAAACACATCAGTCACAAAGTTGTTGTCAGGTGCCTTCGAACTCACTGACTCATAGTGACCCTATGAACAACAGATCATAATTGCTATAGTCACTATGTCAGTTCATCTCCATAAAGGTCTTAAAAAACTCAGATGTTGTCCAAATATTATTCCTTTATATAAGAAACCATGGTTTTCTAAAGAAAAGGTGATTCCTGGATTAGACAGATGAAGAACAAGATGAAGCTGAACATCTTGTGGCTCCAGAAAAAAAAAAAATATATGTATGTGTGTGTATGTATGTGTATGTGTGTGTATATATATAATCCAACAGAGTATGGAAATTATTGAACAATATAAAAAATATCACACACAAGCAAAATCCTGCTGAAGATTATTGATAAACGACTGGAACAGTACACAGACAGAGAACTACCAGAAATACAAGACAGGTTTAGAAGAGGCCGTGGCACTAGGGACATCACTGGATCCTGGTTGAAAGCAGAGAGTACCAGAGTAATGTCTATCTGTGTTTCATTGACTATGCAAAGACATTTAACTGTGCGAATCACAACAAATTGTGGTTAATCTTAAGGAGACTGGGAATCCCAGAAAACTTGATTGTGCTTATGCTCAGACCAGGAAGCAGTCCTCAGAACAGAGCAAGGAAACACTGCATAATTCAAAATCAGAAAAGGAGTGCATCAGGGATGTGTCTTGTCTTCATACATTTTCATTCTATATGCAGAATAGATCATTCAAGAGGCTGGACTTTATGAGGAGGAATCAGAATTGGAGGAAGACTCATCAACAACCTGCATTATGACACAACCTTACTTGCTAAACTGAGGAGGACCTGAAACATTTGCTGCAGAGGGTCAAGGACTGTAGGTTGATAAATGGTATGAAGTGTAACATCAAAAAGACAAAGATTCTCACTATGGCACCAAGTGGCAGCATCATGATGGATGGAGAGGAGAAGAGACTGAGATTGTTAATAATTTTAGCTTGTTTGGTTCCATAATCAACACTCTTGCCATGAGCAGTCAGGAAATCAAAAGATGAATTGCATTAGGGAAATCTGCTGTCAGGGACGTCTCCAGAACACTGAGAGTAAAGATGTCAGTCTAGAGAGTAAGGTACACCTGATCCAGGCCATGGTCTTTGCGATTACTTGTTATACATCAGAGAAATGGACCATGACCAAGGATGACAGAAGAATTGATGCCTTTGAGTTGTGGTGCTGGAGAAGTGTTTTTGAACATACCATAGACTACCAAGAAAACAAACAGATCTGTCCTAGAGAGTGTGAAACCAAACTGCTGCATGGAGGCAAGGATTTTAAGGTTCCATTTTACCTACTTTGGGCATGATACCAGAAGGGACCAGTCTTTAGAGAAGGATATCAAAAGCTGGAAGGGTGGAGGGACAGCATAGGAGAGAAAGACCCCAGATGAAACAGACTGATACAATAACTGGGGTAAGAAGAGTACTTGTGTCAGAGACAATGAGATTGGTTCAGGATAGAGTAGGGTTCAGAGCTATTGTGCACAGGGTCACTATGAGTTGTAGTAGACTCGGGGGCACATAACAACAACAACAAAGAATGACAAGGACGTATTAAAAGACACCAAAGGCAGTCTGAAAGGGGCTGTAGTTGGTCTAGTCTGGGACACGTGAACATGAAGAAAAACAATGATACTAGTGATATTAATGATACCCATTGTTGTTGTTGTGTCTTCAAGTCAACTACACCCTATGCACAATAGGTCTTAACCCTGCCCTATCCTGAGCAAATCTCACCGTCTCTGACATACTTGCCCCCATTACAGTAGTCACTGAATCAATCCATCTCATCCACGGTCGTCATCTCCTGTGTCACTGTCCCTCTATCCTTCCAGACAGGATATCCTCCAAAGACTGGTCCCTCCTAGCAACATCACCAAAGTATGTGAGATGGAGCTTCAAAAAGAAACTATCTGGTTTCACACTTTCCAGGACAGACCAATTTATTCTCTTAGCAGTCCCTATGTTCAATACTCTCCTCCAGCATAACTCTAAGGCAATGATTCTTCTTCTATTGATTGTAATCTTTTTTTTTATATTTACACTATAGGATTCTTTATTCTTAACAGAACTTGAAAATTTTAATCATTACTTTTAGAAGAGAGACTCTCTGGACAAAGTCTTTGCCCGAAGAAAATTACAGACAACATAAGGATAATCAATATAATAAGTTATCCATATGTTAAGATACTACTTTGGTGAGCAAGCTATTCCAAAAGTGAATAGTGATCAAGTATCAAATTAATATACATATCCATTACTTCGTTTCTATGCATATGCTTTACTTATATTAGCACAGGTGGCTTGCATGTATGCACATATAATTTCTTGATTGTAATCTTTGATCACTCTGTCCAGCTCTCTGATGCAGATAATGGGTATCTTTTAATGATGCTGATTAAGTAAAACAAAAATTCATTAATTCATACTGTTAGGAGGGGAAAGGCATCAGGAAATGCTAATTTTTCAATTAAACTTAAATGGAGTCACTGTTGTTGTTAGGTACCACAGAGTCAAACACAACTCATAGTAATCCTATAAACAACCTATCTGAACCTGTCCTATCCTGAGCCATCTTCATTATCTCTGACATTCTTGTGCCCAGTGCTGCAGTCACTTTGTCAATTCCTTTGGATAAGGATACTCTTCTTTTGACAA